CGCTTGGGAGGAAAGAAGCAGTGCTAAAGTGGCTTGCCTTGGGGAAGAAAACTTCCATCTTTATTATTTCAACCCACGACTCTCGTTTTCCTGATTGCTCATGGGAGGTTCTGATGGATGACAATTAACATACAAAGAATATGTTTAAAACTCACACGGCTGACATCACAAGCCAGATCATGGGCTAGTGAGATGACTCCACAAGTCACGGGGCTTGGGAACGGTACAAGTTAATGACTTGAGTTTGATAACCCATGTGGAAGTGGAAGGGGAGAACTAACTCCACAGGGCTGTCCTCTGTGCTCGACCGAATGTCCCTGGTAAATCCACCCCCAACACACACACACAGACACACACACACACACACACACAGAGAGAGAGAGAGAGAGAGAGAATTGTATCATACCTAAGTGCTGTGGCATGTGTCTGAAATCCCAGAAATCAAGAGTTCAAGGCTAGCCTTGGCCAGTACAGGCTACATGAGACACTGTATGAAACAAAACAACAAACAAACAAACAAACACCCCCCCCAAAAGCATAAGATTCATTAAAGCCATCGTGTAAGTCTTTATATAATCCATCCATGCGACCTTACTCCACTTTACAGATAACTGCAGACTGTTTCTAATGTGAAAGTAAGTTAGAACTGCACAAAAGAGAGGTGTGTCCATAAGCCCGGCACCAAGGTGTTAATAAGCTCCGCCTGTGATTGATCTTGTTCATGGAATTCCTGGGCCAATCTGAACAATGCACAGAACAAACTCCGCTGTCTGTGTAATTACAGGTGTGAGGGCCGGGCTTCCGCTTCCCAGCTGCAGGCATCTGGTTTGAAGGACCTGCTCAGTGTTCTCACAAATCTGCCCAACTGCAGGGCTGGCACATCTCGGTGCCTCTACCGGGCTTCTGCCAAAAGATCAATTTAGTCAACAAAGTGTCACTGAACCTTATCCTGGAAGAAACAACATAAATCAACACGAAAAATATTCTGGAGGAAGGAAACTAACGGAAAACTCAAGTAGTTTCTGGTTTGGACTGCTGCTAGGTCACTTGTTGCAGAGAAGCCCAGAGAAAAAACAAGATTCCATTGAGCAGAGTAAGTGTAATGAGAGCCACAGACAGATGACCCCGCAGCTGCTTCCTCTGAAGGCCCAAACACTTCTGCCCCTCCCCGGCCCGCTGTGCACACACTCCCCGACGCCCCGATCGCTGTCCCGAACAATTCCTGCCCTCAGAGTTCCACATTTGTCAGTGACAAGGGGACAGGTGGAGCAGCAGCTGCCTGGCACAGCTGCACCCCGAAGGCCAAGGTTAGGAGGGGCGGCCGGGAAATTCAGTGCCGAGTGCTGTCTTTGAGGCTGAGCACAATGCACCATGGGAGTTGCCTGGCGTCTTTAGTAGTGTATTAAGAGACCCAGAATGGGAAAAAAAAAAAAAAAAAAAACAAAAAAAAAAAAAACGTCAAAATCCAACTTGAAAATGGAAGAAAACAACAATCCCGAGGGCCCTTGAGCAGTCTGCACAGCGTTACAGCGGACTGTCTGAGAAGATGCAACGGGCTGGCGAGGCGGCTCCGTGGGCAAAGGCACTGGCCGTGCAAATCTGATGACTCGTGCTGAGTCTCTGGACCCCTGGTGGCAGAGGAGAACTGAGCCCCCAGAGCCGTCCTCTGACCTCCGCACACGACCCCCCTCCACAAAATAAAATGGAAACAAAAAAGTAAAAGCCTGAGTCGTGTGGGGTTTCACACCAACACCCTCCTTTTCCCAGTCTTTCCAATCTTTGTCTTCTCATAAACGTAGAATTTTTTTTTTTTTTTTTTTGCCTACTTGTGATCAGTAGATAAATAAGTGAAGGGACCGTGTTTATTTTTTGTTCCCAAGGGTCATTTGATCAGATAATTATAATAGCTCCCCCTCTCCGCAAGAACTGTGATTCAGGCTTTCCCATTAACATTCATTTTGCTAGTATGTCACCAGAACAGCAATTGAGGAGAAATTAGTTTGACTTGTACAATAGATTGTACTTGAGATCGTATAGTTTTTAGTAACTTAAAATAAAAATTGAATTTTCAAGTTTGAAAGTATAACTTTTGTAATATACTTGTAAAAAGCTCTTTATTTTACGTGCATGAGAGCTTTGTTCTCATAGATGTCTGAGTCAGAAGAGGGCATCAGGTCTTTCCGAAGCTGCAGTTATGAGTTATGAGTTTCGGACAGTTGAGAGCCGCCATATGGGTGCTGGGAATTGAACCTGGTTGTCTACAAGAACAACAAATGTTCTTAACTGACCACTCTTTCCAGCCTCTCTAATTACACTTTTGAATGGTTTCCCTCTCAAACTGTAGACAAGGAGGAGAAACATCAAGAAAAATCATGGGTCTATGCATAAGTCTGGGTACTTATCAAAAGACCATACATGTGGGATTCTGAAGAAACATCTTCTTATAGGAACTACTTCATGTTTTTAGTATCTGGGCACAACTGTCATTTCACCATCCCGCTGAAGAAGTAGCAGAGGGCTGGGTGCTAGAGAGCCTGCGGAGCGTGCCTGTATATTTACTGTTTCAAATAGAATTTTCCCATGGCTCAACCCTCGTGCTCAAACAATAGCTGTTATTAGTATGACAATCTGTGAGGCCCAGTTTGCTCCACAGATCGCTTACATTTTCTGTAAGTATCTAACACGTGTTTTTATAACATTGCTTTTTAAAATGTGGGACGAGGTGTATTTGTAGATTGTGAAACTGATTTTGTGAGTTTCAGCAAGAACCTTATCAAAAATGGCAAAGAAAAATCTATCTGAATACATCGTATATAGTAAGAAAAAGATCGTTTGTGAAACTTGTTTTGGTTGTATGCTTGTACTGTGTGTCTATAAAGTATATTTCTTCTTGAGTTGCAATGGAAATTTGGAAAGTTGCTGGCACAAAACACATTCTCTCCCACCCCTCGAAATGCAGGAATGAGCCCAGGCCTCATACATGCTAAGGAGGTGCTCTTCCACTGAGCTACATCTCCAGTTTCTAGAAGATTTTTTCTAGTGTATTTTTAATGAACACTATATAAAGTGAGCATTCACTATAGAACAAAGAAAAATAAACATTTTTGTATGATTAATAATCAGATGTTCTCTTTCATATTCAGAGAAATAATCACTTAGCTTTATATGTGGTATTAAGGGTATTCAAACAATTTAAAAGAGGTTTTCTGTCCATTTTTTTATAAGGCTCATTTGAGAGTTGGCATCTGTTGACATTGTTTTCTACAAGTGGGCTGCCGTTCCTCTTCCATTTGTCTGCCAGAAAACAATAATGGATCCGAGGACTCCTAACCTTTGTCTTGCTACTCTCTAACGGTGGCTTATCCCCATGGCCAAGATGTGACAATCCCCCTTTATGACACAGTCTTTCATCCGAAACAGATGAGGAATTCTAATCAGTCCACAAAGCATTCACCCAGCCACACAGACTCCTCCTTCTTAAAAACCCTTTGGAAATGCATGAAATCTTTTGTCCATATCACTATGTTGTGTGGTGGGAGAGGCAAAGTAGGAACCCAGGGGAATAGCAGTCTGGAGGGGTGGTTGCTAACCTGACCCGGAGTGTTCCTGTTGGGGGATATTCAGAGGAGCCCCACACTTCTCTGAAAACTTGAACATCACAGTCACCTCAGTCCTGAACCTGCTGCCCTCCGCACTCACTCAGGGCTGCGTATTGGAGCACAGGTGTCGGTGGGACTTGGACCTTTGGATGGAATTCACAATTGCGTCACTTCATTTTTCCCTGCTTGGATGGCTGACTATTCAAGGGTAGTGCTCATTTCTAATGGCAGGGACTTTCCGTCAAAAGCAAGCACAGAGACGCCAGGAGGCAAGGAAGTCCCAAGAGTCCTGGATGCATCCTCTACACACGTGACAGCGTCTGCTGAGCGCGCTCTCTGCCAGGAGCTGGACTCAGAGAAGTTTTTCTGAGCAGGTGAGAACAGAGAAACCACAACTGCACTCACTAGGCTTACTTAAGAAGCCAGACAAGCATGGAGGAGAGCCACGGCCCTGGAGGCGGAGTTGGTGAAGAGCAATACATGTTTTTCAATGGTATCTGAGCTGAAGCTTGGGGAAGATGCAGGCTGTCGACCTCTGGGAAACGTCTAGGGTTAGAAGCACAATATCCATTTAGGATGTTGCAGCTGAGGCAAAGCAGAATGAGGACACCAGATTCAGAAACAGCAGTTTCTTCTGACTTTTATCTAAGCCAGCGGTTCTCAGCCTTCCTAAGGCTGCAGCCCCTTAAAACAGTTCCTCAGTCAGGCGTGGTAGCACACACCTTCAATCCCAGCGCTCAGGGAGGATCACTGTGAGTTCAAAGCCCACCTGGTCTACAAAACGAGGCTAGGACAGCCAAGGCTACAAGGAGAAACCCTGTCTCAAAAAACCAAAACACGCAAACTAACCAACCAAACCAAACCAACCAAACAAAGCAAACAAACAAAAAAAAAAACCCAGTTCCTCATGTTGTGGTGACGCCCCAACCATAAAATTATTTTTGTTGCTACTTCATAACTGTAATTTTTGCTACTGTTATGAATCTTAATGTAAATATCGGATACGCAGATGGTCTTTGAAAGAGTCCTTTGACCTCCCAAGGGGTCACAATCCACAGGTTGAGAACCGCTGGTTAAGCATTGCTGTGCTCAGGACACTCCAGGCAGCCAGTGATTGCTGTGATGTTCAGTGAGTCGGGGAGGAGGCTGGAGAGGAGGCCGGGGTCACTGTAGTGTCCCGTATGGAAGTTAAAGTGTGCACACACATAAGCTTTGGCTCACCCCACTGGTAAGGCACATCCAAAGTTTAGGGTTGGGCTTGGGGTGTGGCCTAGCTGGTGCAACGCTTCTCTAGCATGCACGAGACCCTGAGCTTGGTTCCCAGCACCGCGTGAACTGAGCGTGCTGGCGAACACCTGCCGTCCAAGCACTTAGGAAGTAGAGGCAGGTAAAAGTTCAAGGTCATCCAAGGTTATGCAGGCTAATCCGGAAGATAGGAGGCATTGCCTCAACCCTCCCCTGAAAGGAAGCAAACATGCCAAACTTAAACAAGATTCAAACCTAAACAAGTTCAATAAACTTTGCTACATCGAAAGAAATACTCAGAACTTTTCGTTGCTATTTCATTTATAACTATACCCAAAAGCTCACGTTTCCTTTAATTCCCACCTCTTAAGGGCATGGTGATGCTTGTAAACCCCTGTGCTTGAGCTGAGCCCTTTGAGGTAAGCCAAGGGCGTGCTCTCCACGTAATCGCTACCCAGGCTAACCTTCCGCTGTGTTGGTTTCCCATTCATTTTCTTATCAGCATACATCAATTGTATAAAATGATAGGTTGCACAAGGCACTTCCCCAAGTATAGATGTTTATCATGTAGTTTGAAAACAGGAGAGATTTGCATTTCTGGATCCAGCTTATTTCCCTTAACCCGGTGGTCTACAGTTCATTTTTTTTTTTCCTTCAAATGACACGATCATGTTCTTTATGGCTGAATACTAAATAACTCCCTTTGCGTCCTTGTTACAGGGCTGTTTCCGTAAAGCTTTTGTCCTATCTTGAGGTACAGTCTAAAGCTTAAGATTATTAGGGGTGGTGGGATACAGGTTTCCACAAGTGTTCTTATGACCTTTGATGCTTGGGTCAGAGGGGGCCTGGTACTTACTGTTTTGCTCCAAGCGAGGCCCGTGGTGTGGTGCTCCTTGATGTAGGTTTGCAGCTCGCTCCAGATGCTGAGATAGGACTTCACCCAATCCACGTGATGCAGGTCACTTCAGTACAAGAGAGAGTGGGCGAGAGCAGGGTTAGGATCGAAAACCCAGTTTTACACGTGTCCATCTGGTAGGTGGAGCTCCAGAGGAGCCCAGAGCGAGTGTCCTCTAGCCAGAGGGGGGCAGGAGGATGGCCAGTGCTCTGAGCTGCGGGTGTGGACAGAGAGACAGAGACGGGGACCCGGGTGTGCGGAGCTGACACAGGAAGTAGGCCATCCCTGGTGGAGGTGGCTGCGGGGAGCAGACCGTTGCTTCTGACCCCCTTCTCGAATAAAATAAAGAACAACATGTTTCTAGGGGAGAGAACAGCATGAAAAAGAAACAAACAAACAAACAAACATGGAGCAAAAGCATTTGGCTTGTTTTCTAGTAATTCAGCCGTTATTTGGTTTTAGAAGTCTGACTGGCTGGAGACTTCTACCCACTACAAATGACATGGACAGCTGACAACACTTCATCCTTCTAAAGTGACTCTCACTGAAGTACCTGACTTGGATGCTCCTGACAATGTGAGCTGGGTGGAGTTTGATCAGATTTTGTTTGTTTTTGTTTGTTTGTTTGAACGAGGAGCAAGTCAAAAGCCTTTCTTAATAGGGTGAACACATGAGGCTGTGAGAGCTGCCAGAATAGGCAAATGGTTGGTTGCATTTCTTTCCTAAAAACATATTATTCTTATTAATTCTTTTATAATTATATATTTTAATCACATTCGCCCCCTTTGTTGCATTTCTTTGGGCAATTTCTGCCCCCATAATCTTCTTTGCCCCCATTTTGAAGGAAGAAGTAGTGGTCAGAAAATGAGAAAACACTGAGTTTTGAGTTGGCAGAAACTCAACGATATTCCACTAATGTCAATAACTGAAGAGAACCCCAAAAGGAAAGCTCTGTTATTAAGCCTCTTGACAACAGTGACTTTTCTCCACATAGACTGCTATCCTTGCAATGTTCTGAATGCCACCCTTATGCCTAGAGTCCACAGCAGGAAGCCATGCCACCAGGGAGAGTGAGCAGGGCGATGACCATGGTTTGGATGGGAAATGATCCTTACAGAGTCATATGTCTGGGAACTTGTTGTTTTGGGAGGTCGTGCAGCCTTTAAGAGGTGGAGTGTCACAGGAAGTCAGTCACTGTAGGGTGGGCCTTCCAGCCTCATTTCCTGTCCCATCTCTGCTTCTTGCCCCGCTCAGATGTGAGCTCTCTTCACTGCTTCAGCTGCCAAGCCAGCCTATGGCTGTGCCCTGCCAGCCGTGGTGGTTTGTATTTCCTGAATCATGAGATAAAATGAACCTCTCCTGTCTTAGGTTGGTTCTGTCAGACATCTACGTTTTCAGTGAGGAAGTAAGTCATGTAGGGATTGGATTCCTGACCACCCCGTTTTCTTCCACAGCTTTAGATTTGCTGGCTCTGTGACCGGAATCTATGAGGCTCTGCCTCACTTTCATAATTAAAATCCCCTAAGTGAGTAGCTTCCTAGACCTACCTCATTAATGCCTTGTTCTAGAGGCTCTTAGGAGGTGCCCACAGACACAGGAGACTGTGTACAATGGTATCAGAGGATGAGGCTCCCTTCAATATGATTCAGCATGTATGTCTACATACATGCTCTACCTATGCAGGTATGTCTCATCTGTGTGTGCATTTACGCAACACACAGGCATGACAACACGCCAGAGATAATCCCATCATACATTTGACATATGTACTGCTAAAAATGCTAGCAACTAACAAGGGCCAAAGCTGTACAAGGCTCAGGTGGTTTTCCTTTTTAACCATCGAGGTATTATTTTGGCTTGGAGAAAGTTCCAAGAAAAAAAAAAAACAAAACAAAAACAAAAACGTAGGAAGAAATAATTGCATGAAAATTCCTAACCACCAATGAAGACCAAATCTATATGTTTAAATGTGTTTCTCTCCTAAGCATTGCAGTATCACTTTGACTTAAAGAAAGTTCTAGAAAAAGGTTACAGGCAGGAATAGCTGCATGGTGCCTTTTACCTGAAGCTTAGTCTCTAGAACATTAGTTGAGCCACATCCAAACACATGGAAGTTGTGACCCTCCCTCTGTTTTCATTGGCGTTGGAAGCTGCAAAACCACGCCCTGGCAAAGCCAAGGCAACCGATCCACTCTGTTCCTATAGACAAAGGAGCCAACAGCCAGCCCAGCTGGTTACCAGGGAGGCACAGAGGCCCGCAGCCCTTCCTTCAGCAGTTTCTCCCACAGGTCTGCCACACGGGCAACACCTAGAAGGCCCTGTGGGGCACTTGGGAGACCCCCCACAGATGGATGTTGGGGTGTGAGGCTCCTTACACTCACCAGTTCACCAGTGGAAGACATTCAGGGGGACTGGCGCCCAGGTGAATCGACACATGCACCTCTAGTGACATTTCTCTGGCTTATTATATCTTTTTTAGGCATGCTGCCGATGAAGCGCCCGGTGATGCTGCCTGACCTTTCATATTTAACGCTAATAGCTGAGATCAAGGGGCAAAGCCTGAGTGGGCCATGGTCTTGTAATTACAAACTGCAAAGGAGGTTGAGGCTGGAGGGTCACACCATGAAGGCCTGCTCAGATGACAGAAAAGTGCAAGGCAAGCCTGGACAACTTGGGGAGACTGTCTCAAAATGAAAGAAAGTGAAAAGAGGACTGGGGGTGCAGTTCCGTGGGGATGTTTGTCTAGCAGAGGGGAAGCCCCGAGTTCAATTCCCAGTTCTGTAACAAGCAACCTTGAAGGGGGCAAAGACTGCATTTGTTTTGTACAGAAGCAAGACCGTGGGAAACCCCAAACCCTCTGGTGATGGTAGAACCTCGGGAGGCTATCCAGGCAGCAAGCAGACACTGAGGGTTGGAGAAGCTTATGAGAAACCAGGAGCAACAAGTGAGTACAGGTTTCTTTGGGGGAGGAGATGAAAATATTGTAAAATTAGTTGTTGGAATGAATAAGTGGAATGATTCCTTGTATTACAATTCTCCATACCTCACATATATGGTATAAATATTCTTATATGCTGACTAAAAAATATGTTATATGTTTTAAAAAAGAGCTTGGTGTGGTAGCGTATGCTTGCATTCCCAGCACCCAGTGGGTTGATGCAGGAGGATCCTGAGTTGGAAGCTAGCCACTGGGCTCCACAGTACGATCTTGTCTCAAAACAACTAACCAACCCCTACCCCTCTCAAAAAAAGGAAGAAAGAAAGAAAATAAAAGAAAAAAAAAGAAAAAAAGAAAAAGAAAAGAAAAAATAAAAAGAAAAAAAGAAAAAAAAAACCTTCAAGAAAACTAGAAGACAACTTTCCCTCCCCCCCAAAAAATCCCATGTTAACAAAAAACAGCAATGCAAATTTTGACCGGTACCATCTTAGGCAATAGGTTAGACTGTGGTGGGTATTTGTGTATGCTATACATTTTTCCGCATTCTGTGGGAAGGGTCTGCCTTAGTACGATAACTGAGACAGTCTAGAGAAGCCAGGCCCTCTGATTTCCTTCCACCTGAGCAGTGTGGAATAAGGATGAGATGTCACTAGGAGGCCCCATGCTAGCTGACCAGTGGCTGCTTCTGCTGGTCCCACTTAAGAGTTCAGATTGGGAGCTACTGGAGTCCAGAGCCAGGCAGCGAAGATGGCTGCTCTTATTTCAGTCTTTTCTTCTATTAGTTAGCAGGGCTGGCCACATCACACTTAGCCAGCTGTGGCCTCGTTGGAGAGTGAGCACTCTTGTGACAATCTGTGTAAATACGTTAAGAGGCATTTTCCTAGCTATCTCCTCAGCCTGGCCTACCTCCATTTGATGGCATTTTCTCTTCTGTCCCCAGATCAGTCTCTCTAGGATCCCTTATTTGGGCTGGAGGATACCAGATCTTTCTATGCTGGTTCTCCAGACAAAACCCCTTGGCTCACCTGTCCTTTCAACAGCTGTTGACAGTTGTTCAGACAACAGCTGTCTGTCTGCCGGGTTCTATTTCATCTGTTTCTGGTTTTGTGCCCAGTTTGCCTAGTTCACAGTCTCACCAATCTCCGTTTTGGGCTCCTCTATTCCTCCTATCTAGTCACTCACTATCTCTACTTTGCTCAGTGGAAATTTTCACTGGGTTTGGTGGCACATGCCTACAATTCCAGCACGTGGGAGGTGGAGACAGGAGAATAGCCACGAGCTTGAGGTCAGACCAAGATATATTAAGAGACTCTGTCTCCAAATCATGAAAGAAGGAAAAAGTTCAATGATGGAGGCTCAGTCTTTAAGTACAGACATTCCCGACGTACTGACATGTGGTCACATGAGGACAGGCAATTCAGTGAAAGAAAATGGAGGCAGCTTTCTTTGTAAAACACATGCCATCCAGGAATCCGATCCCCTTCTCCGTGTGGCTTTTCCCTACAAAAGCGGGATTTTAAAATTTTACTTAAGCAACGAAAAGCTTCTATTCACGCCTGTATGTGTGTCCCCTGTGTCAATACGTGCAGCGCACGTGAGGTGTCTTCGGAGGGCAGGTGAGGGTGTCGGCTCCCCTAGAGTTGAAGTTGTGGACCGCACGAAGCCATCGAAGTCTGGCCCTCTGGAAGAGCCGAAGCGGCTTCTAATGCCTGCGAAGTCTCTCCAGTTATTCTGTTTTCTCCTGACATTTATTCACGCGTTTTGCGTGGGAGTCTTTGGACGCCCGTGGGCGTCGACTCTGTCCTCTACCAGGAGATGGAGGAGTAGTAATCAGGTCCTTGGGGTATGGCGGCAGGGGGCTTGCTGAGCCATCTCAACGGCCTATGTATTGTTTGAAGACACGCTCTCATGTGGCTCAGGCAGACCTCACATTGGCCATGTTGCAAAGATGGCCTTGGATTTCTGACTGTTCTCTTTCCCCTGGGTCACAGGTTCGAAGCTCAAATGTGGGCTCTTAGTCTCAAGGTTAGTCAGTGTACCAATGAAGAGACCAGGACAGGGATCTGGGGTTAAACCTAAGCTTGAGGAGCAGAGGTCTGACAAATGATCGACTGAAAAACACAGCCAGTAAAAGACGGTACATACCTGTGTTTGTAGTCCTTCAGGACCCTGTTAGTGTAAAAGGTGGCAGCATCATTCATCTCCTTGACATAAGGACCAGGTTTGGGGGACTGAGAAAGCAGGACCATCACCCAAGCATAGAAGAAAAAAACACAGGATAAGAAAGAAAACACCTTGAAGAAGCAGGAGAAAAGCAGCAGAACAACGGGTGAGAGCCAGAGGCAATGTGGGGTCTGTAGAGGCTGGAGAAACGCTTTCCCATCTCAGCGTAGAGAGCACTGGGCTCACACAGGGTAAGAGAAAGCCGATGTGCCCAGCCTGCAGGAGCCTTCCTGCGGTGCCCCAGGCTACGGACGAGCCTGAAGGTGAAAGTCCCTGAAAAGGTGACGCCTGTGATAGTCTGTCCTTACTCACCACAGCTATCCACCCGAGGGCGGGTATGCTCTCGCTGACGGCTGAGAGGTGGTTGAACATGTCGCTCCCCCGGTTTCTCTCTCGGAAAGTCTGTATCTCCTGAATCTTCTCCGATATGGGTTTCAGGAGGACAGCCAGCTCATTCTGTGGGCAAACATTGGACTGGTTACTTCGGACAGGCAGAACACTGTGCACACTAGCCTGAGGGGACCGCCCGGGGCTCGCTGTGACTTGGGAATCCGAAAGGAACATGCGACCATCCTGAAGAGGACGATGTCGATACAGACAGCCTTCTTTCGGGATCTCTGCATGCTACTGTTGTGGGCTCAACCAACTCTGGATTGAAAACACCACAATAAGCAGCTTGGCTGGCAGAAAGGCCGGTGTTAAAACAAGAACAGCAGCAGCAACAGCAGCCAAGCTGGACATGGTGGCTCATCCTTGTCACCCCAGCACCTGGGAGGCCGAAGCAGGGGTTGAAATCACAGTGACGCCAGACATGGTGCGGTAGCTCACACTTCTTATCCTAGCATTTAGGAGACCGTGGCAGGACGCTCTGAGACCAGCCTGGGCTAGAGGGTAAAATCCTGTTCCTCCCAACACCCAAAGGAGACAATTACGATTCAATGATTTATCATCTTTTACGTCCTCAACCTGATGGCTTTCTGTACGGTCCTTAGCCCAAGCGTGGTCACATTCTCTTCTCATTAATTCACCACATGACTCCTGTAGTTACATTAAAATGATCTTCAAAACTGTGTGAGCAGAGTCACAAGGTACGACAGGAAGAGAGCCTCCCTGCGGCGGCTTTCAAGCCCTCTCCTGCTGAGTGTTGACACCTGTTGGACCTCCAGGTGTTGAGGAGCCAGATACAAAGTTGGAGCCTGTGTGTGTGTGTGTGTGTGTGTGTGTGTGTGAGAGAGAGAGAGAGAGAGAGAGAGAGAGAGAGAGAGGGAGGGAGAGAGAGAGAGAGAGAGGAATAGCAAATAGCAAGGCCCTGCCTGGCAGGAGCAGTTGAAATGCTTTCAGCAGAATTTTACTCAATCCTATTCACAGGAGGGAAAATGGAAAAGCGCCTTACAACTCTTTCAATTTTTCTTTTTTTTAGAGCGATGGTTTTCAACCTTGTCTACATGCCGGCACCATCTCCCCTCTCCCTGAGGCCTCATCCTCATTTCCTTGGTCTTGGGGAGGCCTGGGCAGGAGGGGAAGACTGGGAAATCCCCCTAGGTGGTCACTAGGGGTCACACACCAAAGGAGCAGCAGACCACCGGGGACAAAATTAGGCTCGGCCACAGCCACAACCGCGACCCTCTTCTGACTGTAACCCTCTTGCCATGTTTCCTCCCAAGCCACGTGTTAGAGAGAGAGGCTTTGGAGTTAGAACGACCTTGGTTCAAATCTACTCTCTGCCGATTACCATCCATGCGGCTCTGAGGAAAATCACTTCAGCTGATTTTTTTGTTTCATTTGGCACAAATAGAAGAGAACCCCCTCCAGCCTCTGGTTATAGGGGATGCTATATTTTAAACCTCTGGCCCCGGGGCTGTTACAGAATAATTGCAAGTGATGGTTCTGAGAGCCATGCCACAGCTCACGTCAGAGTTGTGTTAGTCATGTTTCTTGCCGCTGCGACTAAATAGTTGGCAACCTAAGGGAGAAAGGCTCCCTGGAGCTTCCTACGTGGAGCAGAGTAGCCTCCAACGCTCGGAAATTCTCCTGCCTCTCGCTCCTGATGACTGTCATTGCTGCCGTGTGCCACCACACAAGGTTTGGAATTTTAATCTTTAGAAAGCAAATATTTCTCTCTCCATAGACCTTTTCTCGGTCCAGATTCAATTACCATATCAAAAGGGCGATGCTGGTTCCCTCAAAGGCCAGCAGTTCCGTTGTGGCAAAGCCACGCAGCAGCGGCCCCTGCTTGCCTCTCAGCACTTGGCTAAACCATAACATGTTTGATGAAATGACATCTCTGAGAAAGACCAGACTGTGTCAACTGCTGGTGGAATCTGTTCTGTTGCCCCAAGAAGAGAAAGAACCAGAAACTGTGTATTTACAACACTGGAGAGATTTATTACGACCAACTTCGTTTATCTCTAACATCCCAAGAACAAACTCTGAAGTCTGAGAAGATGCAGAATTCTGGAAGACATTTTATATTGGTTATCTGATGAGACCATCATAAATATCAAGAAAGTTGCCTTTTGCCTTAATTTGGCAACTGTGTGAAGAATTTTTATCAGTTAAAAATGTCAAGAGAAGAAAGAACAACTCTTGTTTCTACCAATGCTAACAAACATTTCGGCCTTCATTCTGTGCCAATAGGTTTGCGTGTGCTGTGAAGTGGCTTATCTCCTCCAGTTCATCCTGAACTTCCACAGCTGGACTACGGAACACCAGAGAGAACAGCGTGATTTCCATCAAAGCTCACTGTGCGGATGTCAGTGGAAAGGCGCTGTGGCAGGACCTTAGACATCCTTCTACCTGCTTAGGTATTAGGTATCTGTGAGGCATACTCAGAAAATACGGGCAGAGTTGTGTTATGTCAGCTAAGCTTACGAAAGTGCTTCCCACTAGAGAAAGGCGTGTGTGTGTGTGTGTATATATAGGAATTGAACCCAGAGCCTTGGACAAACTAGACAAGCAGCCTACAAACTGAGCTGAATTCCCCAGTAAAGAGAAGATAAGTTAAAAGGTTTCTGTATTATTATTATCACACTATTATTATTATTGATTATTATAAATTATTGATTATTATTATACTATTATTATTATTTGTGTAGGGGGTATCTATGCATGTATATGTATGTTGGAGTATGTGTCTGTAAATGTGGTGCAGGTGCATGAGCATGTGCACGTGTGGAGGCCTGGAGCTGACTGCTTCCTTGATTGCCCCCCCCCTTGATTTCTTGAGGCAGGATCTCTCACTGAACTCAGAGCTCACCAGTTCTGGGAAGCGCAGTGCAGCCTTGTGCTAGAGTCCCTGGTTCTCCTGGTCTCGGCTTCATGACTGCTGAGAGCACAGGCAGCCATTAAGCCTGCCCACACTTTGATGTGGGTTCTGGGGATTCAAACTCTGGTCTTCATCCTTGCCTGGTCAGTGCGTAGGCCCTTTACCCACTGAATGATCTTCTGAGTCCCTCGTCCTGGTTTTCTGTGCACTTGTTTTCTTAGAGTGTGGTGCGGTGGTCCTGAACACACAGCTGGAGGGATGCCTCAGTCGGTTAAGTGCTGCAGCAGTTGGAGGTGAGTGGGAGTGGATCTGCAGCACCCACATTTTTAAAAGCTGTGTGCGGCTGTACCCGCCTGCAGTTGCGGTTCTGGATGGCGGTGGCAGTGGCAAGAGGATGGAAATGAGAGGGCATGGGGGGGTGACATTGTCGTCCTCGGCCATCAGTGAGCGCCACGTCTAATGAGAGATCTTGCTTCAAAAAACAAATAACCAAGGAGGACAGTTTTCACACTCAGGCGCCCACACACATACACATGCATGCTCACATTCATACACAGCTGCTGTTGTATTGTGTAAATTCTCTCCAAAATAAAACAACCCAAACCTGCGTTTCCTTCGGGTTTCTATTTTCTAAGACAATTTCCTGAAAGGAAATAAAATTTTCAAGCTGTGAAGACAAGCCCCCAAATCTTTTCTATTTCAGGTATCCCTGGAGCAGACACAGACACACATGGTCCTACGGAAAGGGCAGAGGTGAGTGAGCGAGGTCATGTTTTCGGCAAATGTCTCCAAGGCTGTGCTAGCCGAGTGATGCTAGTTGGGAAGTGCTTGGGAGAGTGTCTCAGGGCTGTGTCTTCACGGCCCTTGCAAGGACTCTGAACCTGAAGAACCCAGGGCTGCTATCAGCTCCATCTCCACTTAGCTGCAGAAGCAACTAGATTGTTTTGCAGAGAGTAAAATGGAAGAGTTTTATCAGCAAGCTTTGGAGAAACTTTACCCAATAAGGCAAACCAGATTCTCTCTCAGGCAGTTCTGTAAGAGAGGCAACAATCTGGACTTTGACCTTAAAGATGGGCACACAATAGCAATGGAACTAGCCGGTTATTTCTAGAATTAAGGATTCTTTTTCAAAAAGTTAAAATTGGATTTTTACTTACTAATTTTGTGTGCACCAGGGGACTTCAAAAGAGCATTTTGGGAGTCCATTCTCTCCTTCCACCATGTGTGTTCTGGAGATCAGACTCAGATCATCAGTCTTGGTGTAGGGTGTTTTCCTCCTGAGCCATCTCACCCACCTTTGGAACACAGGCTTCTTTCCAAAACATTTATTTATCTCTTTAGTGTATGCGTGTGTAGCTGTGTGAGGTTATGGGCCCCACATACATGCAGGGCTCTACAGGACGAAGAGGGCATTGAGCCCTCCCCCCTGGAACTGGAGTTACAGACAGTTATGGGCCACCATATGGGTGCTGGAATTGAACCCATGTCCTCTGGAAGAACAGCCAGTGCTCTTACCCCTAAGCTATCTCTCCCGATCCCGGAATACAGGGTGCTTGTATACTTTTGTGTCAAGTAGGAAATAGCTAAGTTTTTTTTGTTAAAAAATTCCTTTTCTGATTATGAAATGAATATTTGCTTGGTGGAGTGACTGGAAATACAGACAGGAAACACAAGCAAATACAGAACATTCTAATTCCACCATTAATGTATACAGTTCTCAAGAACAAAGAAAACATTTTTTTTTTTAAAGATTGTAGGTGCCAGAGGATCAGGGAGTTTGCTGTGAGTCTGTGTCTTCTTGCAACATCAGAACCTACATCTGTAAAGTCTCACCGACATGACCAAACATTGCACAAACATATGCTGAAAAAGGATGACACCATCGAACATGCCACATGGACAGAGAAAAGTTCATGAGGCCTCAACTCTAGATGAAGAACTACAGGCAACTGAAGGAAGCTGGGAAAGCAAGAGGTGGCCCTCCCTTGAGAAGAGCTCTTCTTCTTCCACACATAGAAGTAACAATAGATGGACTGAACAGGTTATATTTAAGAGTACATCCATACATGCATGCATAGATGCATGCAAGCACACTGAGTGAAAAGAGAGCCTGCGAGTTCGAGGGATCGCGGAGTAGTATACGGGAGGGTTTGGAGGGAAATAGCAAAGGGGGAAATGTAATTACAGTCTCAAAAAAATTAAAAAAGTAGTAAGAAGAATGATTTTAAGAGTTGAATTCAAGCCATCCAATCAAACCCACAAGCACACCAACAAATAAAACCCCATCAAAACACTTAGTAATTGGCATTGGGCAACCTTCTGTTGCTGTGACAGAATGCCTGAGGGAAAACAGCTTAAAAGGAAGAAAGATTTGTTTGGGTCAGAATTTCAGGGGTTTAAGTCCATGGCGAGCTGGCTGCACTGCTTTCGACAAGTCAGAACTCCACTTCGGAGGCCGGGTAGGAAGCCAGAACAAAGGAACACCTCAGGGTGGCAGGAAGCATTAATCCTGAAAATCCGAAGAGAAAGACCCGGTCCACAACTTTGAGCCAAATCTGAAGCAAGCTTTAATTAACTACTGTCCAGGATGATGGGGCTGTGCCAGGTTCATTTTTGGGTTCTCAGAAAATGGAGACAAATCACATTTTCAGAAGTATAAGGTGACCGTTTTTCCAGTCAGGTGCAATCAGGGGCAAATGTGCTTCCTGACATGTTTCCTGCCTGCATACTTCCCACCTACACATGAGTAAGCACACGAGACACAGCCGGGTCAAACAAACTTGTTTAGGGGAGTGCAAACATCAACAACAGCCTTCAGCATTTCAGGAAATACCTACCCTTGGGCAAGAGGGACTACAGGTTAACTTGGGCCCTTACAGCAGTATGGTGAGTGGGGAGAGAGGCAGGACCCCGATAATCCCATCATTGGGATGCCCTCGGTGACCTACTTCCTGCAACTAGGCCCCACTTCACACGTTTCCACCACCTCCCTCACCTTCCTCACGTGCCCCCAGCCAGGGCTCAAGTGATGATTAACACATGAATCTTTTGAGAGTTATTCTAGGACAGATTGTAACGTAGGTACTGTGCAAATTGCATCATTTTAGAAACGGTTTCAGACAAGGGTGGCACCATTATGGCTCAAAAACCCTAACAACTAAAAAAATCGGAACAATAAACTTTGGACTCGTTTCTTCTTGAGAGGAGGTCTCACTCTGAGTTTCAGACTGGCGTAGAAGTTACTTTGTAGCTCAGGCTAGCCTCGAACTTGTACTTCTCTTACTCTACTTTCCCAAGCATTGGGATTATAGAAGTGAGCTACCACGCCTCGCTCATAATTTGGACTCTGTGTATGTGTGCTCTGTAATAGAGGTTTTGGTTTCTTTGTATGTTATAAAAAAATGCTTTTGTGCTAATCCCAAGTGTGGAATTTTAGTTGGGCCACAGTTTGACCACACCTCTTAATTGTCATGTGTGGGGCACGATCTTTGCCAGCTGCTAATGGCCTTCCACGTGCAGCACGGAGAGGGCTGTGATCTAGGACTCTGAGTATGAGAGTGAAAAAGACAGGGGGTTGGTGTTTGGTGTGGCGTGGAGCAGTTTGGAGAGACCAGAGACCAAAGACGGTGTCGCGGTTTGGAGCAGACAGACAGACGGAGTGAAAGACTTCAGGGTGCTGCAGCGTGGAGGTGCCTGCTGGCTGCGTCTGGGGTTGACGGAGACTGTTGTAGAGCTCTAAAAGAACCCCTTGACCCTAACTAGCCAGGAGCAGTAAAGGGGCGTGGGCCCTGTC